AGGTGGCTTGAATTGGAAGAAATTGATTGGATACTATAAGATGGATTGGTTTGGCCCGCCGCAGGCGCAGAAACAAATGAATTGATGGATTGGGTTGGGTGGGTTGCGTTGGGTGCGATAAGAAGGGACAATATGGGTTGGATAAGAGAACATGGATTGGATTGAACAATATGGATTTGATAGGATGAGCTGGATTCGATAAGCGCCGGGACGCCCGGGACACCCGGGGCACCTGGGACACCTCCCGGCCCAAATGGGACACCTCCCGGCCACCTTCGGACGGGGAACGGACTTGCGCTCCTACTGACACCCGGGACACCCGGGACTCCGCCCGGCCCGTGGGGCACCTCCCGGCCACCATCGGACGGGAAACGGACTTTCGCTCCTACTTCGGCGTAGCTACAGGAGGATCACGCGCAGCTTCGCCTCGCCCGCACGCACGACACGAACACGAAACCGAAACCGATTTCCCGGTGGGGGGGCCCCGTTTCACTGCGATCTCACCCCCTAACCTCCGATGTGTGCCTTTCGTGGCCCCCTCTCGTTCGCGCCCGTGGTGGCCCCATATGCATGCCCTTCGTGGCTCCGCTGTCGCCCTTCGTGGCCCCTTCGCTGCCCTTCGTGGCCCCGTTGCTGCCCTCAGTGGCCCCGTCCTTGCCCTCCGCGGCCCAGTATGCGTATGCCCTTCGTGGCCCCCGTTCGTTCGCGCCCGTTGTGGCCCCATGTGCGTGCCGTTCGTGGCCCCATTGTCGCCGTTTGTGGCCCCCTCATTGTCCTACATGGCCCAGTTGCTACCCTCAGTGGCCCCATCGTTGCCTTTTGTGCCCCCGCATTATTTGCCCTTCGTGGCCCCCGCTTGTTCGCGCTCTTCGTGGCCCCATACGCATGCCCTTCGTAGCCCCGCTGTCGCCCTTCGTGGCCCTCTCTCGCTGTCCTTCGTGGCCCTGCTGTCGTCTTCTCTCGCTCTCGCTTTCGCTCGTCGTCCTCGTCGCCGTCGTCGTCGTCGTCGCCGTCGTCGTCGACGTCGTCGTCGTCGTGGTCGGTCCCCTGTCCGTCCCTCTTGGGGTCGGGTCGACGGTCCGCGGCCGCCCCGCCGATCAGCGTTGCCGCTGGCCAGGCCGACGGTCCGCGGCCGCCCCGCCGCTTGCCGGGGCCCGGCTGGAAGAAAGGTATACCCCCCAAAAGGGTCTCGATCGAACACGAAGAGGGCGGGTATCGAGGGTTTGGGAAATACGCGTTACTGGACACTCGAGCAGATAAGAGTGAAGACTCTTAAACTGATTGTTGTTGTTGTTGTTGTTGTTGTTGTTGTTGTTGTTGTTGTTGTTGTTGTTGTTGTTGTTGTTGTTGTTATTGTTGTTGTTGAAGTCTCATTTCTGAAGAATAATTATTGTTGATCCCCCCCGTCCGGTGCAAATTGTTTTTCGATTGAAGTGCCCTTCCCGGGGTTCGCACCCTGTTTTTGACCAGGGAAAGTCTTGAGGGTCAAACTGTGTCGTTGACCCCCGGTTTACAACAACAACAACACAACAACAACAACAACGGCTCCCGCTTGATAGTTCGTTACAATTTATTGAAGAATCGCGCTCTCGCTTGGCATTTCCTTGCAACTTACCACCGGATCGCGGCTCCCGCTTGATATTTCTGCATCGTTTGTTGAAGGATCGCGCTCTCGCCGGAGACTTCCTCGCAACTTACCACCGAATCGCGGCTCCCGCCTGATACTTCCTCACAATTTATTCAGGTGCAGCTCCTCGGCACTCAAGAGTCGCGCTCCTGCTACATATTGCCTGGCGGTTCAAACATAATTTACGCTTCAACGACCCGCCCGCTCGACCCGCCCGTCTGGGCCTGCCCGCCCGACCAGCCCGTTAGGGACTGCAGTTGCCGCTCGCTGCCCTTCGCCCGCATCCGATGCCCCTCGCTGCCCGTACTGGTTCCGCGGTCGCTTTCGTTCGCTGCCCTTCGTGGCCCCGTTGCTGGAGGAGGAGGAGCAGGAGGAGGAGGAGGAGGAGGAGGAGGAGGAGGAGGAGGAGGAGGAGGAGGAGGAGGAGGAGAGGGGAGGGGGAGGGGAGGAGGAGGAGAGGAGGAGGAGGAGGAGTGAGGAGGAGGAGGAGGAGGAGGAGGGGAGGAGGAGGAGGAGGAGGAGGAGGAGGAGGAGGAGGAGGAGAGAGGAGGAGAAGAGGAGGAGGAGGAAGAGGAGGAGGAGGAGGAGGAGGAGGAGGAGGAACAGGAGCAGCAGGAGGGGGGTGAGGGCAAATCAGCCTGAGCTAACAGGTGACATGTTGCTATTGGCTACGGTAAAAGCGCTCCCTGGACCTCGTGGGCCTTTTTGCAGCGCTCTTGGGGCTCTCTTGGGCGTTATTGGATCTGGCTTGACATTTCTTTCGGCTTATGTTCGGGCTATTTTGGGGCTTCTTGGGGCGGTATTGAAAGCTCGCAAGGCTATCGCAAACGAGCGGGCGACGCTGCATAAATCATTCATGTTCATTTGGTCCGTAATCCTCGTCAGGTCGAGGCGTTTTGGCCCAAGCCATGTCTGCGCGGAGCAAGCCCGGCAAAGGTGTCGAACGTCGCGATCGCTTCGAGTCAAAGATTGCGACAAAGGAGCGGGCGCGCCAGGAGGCGGCGGAGCAAGAGGAAGCTGACGCGAAGAAGGCGCCAGAGGGAGGCGGAACAGGAGGCACGCAACCAGGAGCGCAGGAGACGAGGAGCAGAGGAAGAGGACGCTCGGCGCGCGCGGTCGGAGGAGGGGGGCGGACCGCCGCGCCAGGGCGCAGCAGCGGGAAGCAGCCCAGGAGCGCAGGCTGAGAGAAGAGGAAGCGGAGGACGAGGCCGCTCAGCTTGCGCGAGGCCAGGCCCGGCGCAGGTTACGAGCGGCAGCTGCGGAGGAGGAGCGGGAAGTGTGGGGGGAAACGCGGGCGCTTATTGCTGCAGGCAGGACAAGTGTTGACCATGCTGACGGGGTAGTGTCCACCAGCCCATTCAGAAATGACCACAAATATGCGCAGGAAAGTGAGGCAGACCACGGGAACTCGCCTGCGTCCACTATTCGCCGCGCTCTGAGTGACGGCGCCGGAGCGGATAGGGCTGCAGGAAAGAAACCCCAACAGTCAAGACGAGGGGGCACTGGTCCACACTTGTCTTGCGAGGCCCTGCCGGCTACGTCCTCCAGGCGTCCGCCTCGGGGGGGGGGGCGGCTTCAGAGGTGCGACAGCTTTGGGCACTGCCGCCAGGTGTGTTGCGGGCGGTAGTCGCGTCAGCGTGGTCGCGGTGACCAGTGGCGGCGCATTTGGGGCGTCGTGGTGGCGCGCGTCGTTTCGGCGTGGCGGCGCGCGACGGTGGTTGGATGGGCGCGGCCGCAATTTCGAGGGGGGTGCGTGTAACGGCGGCGAAGACAGATGCGATTGTCCTGGTGGCGGGTCGATTTGCGAGAGGGACGATTCCCGAGAAGGATGGGGGCCAGCAAGTGGTGGCCTTCAGACGAGCGAGGAAGGGGAAGGAAACACTCGTGGCTGGGCTTCCCTGGGGGCGGGGCGGAAATTGCTCGGGCGACAAAGTTTTTGGGGGGATAGGGTGGGCGGGGGGGGGGGGGGCGGGGGGGGGGCGGGGGGCGTGCGCGGCGGGGCGAGGCCTTCGATGGGTGGGGCCGCAGGTGTGGTAGGAACAACTGGTTCTTATACGATCGGATGTCTTCGAGGGCGTTGTGGGCGGGCAGTGGCGCATTGTCTCCTGCGTCAGCGACTGCGTGGCGAGCGTGCTCATCGGTCGCGGGGCGGTGGCGGGGGGCCGTCGATCACGTGCCGGGGTCGTGCGCGTCACGCGCACTGCGGATAGCTGGCGTGTTTGCCGCCTTCGGGTACAAAAACGCCCGGCAAGTGTACCGCGACTCGCGCAAGCAGTTGCTCTTGTACTGCGCGTGTTCGGGCAGCGACGCGGGGTGGCGCGTGGGCAGGTCGCTTGATGGAGCAATCGACCTGTTGTGCCACCGGACTGCCGCGGCACCCCGCGCCGAGCCGCAGGGCTGCCGAGTGTCTCCGCATCGTGCGGTGCGTTACGCTTCCCTGCAGCGCATCGTTGCGGTCCCTCTGTGGGGGCCGCGTGCTCGTCGCGGGGGCAACTTTTCGTAGCTGGCTGACGCGGGTGGTGGGCGGTCCAAGGGGGATGCAACATGTAGCGCGCGGGAAAGGAGGGGGAAGTAAGAGAGGGGGAGTGGAGGGGAGGAGAGGGCTCCGAGGCGGCCGCTATACCCTGAGTGCCTTGATAGTTCCAGGGGCGCCCCCGAAGTCTGGGAAAACCCTAGTTGTCCGGGGGGGGCGCTCTTGTAGTCCAGGGAGGGGCCCCTTGTGATCCAGGGGGAAATGCCTCCCAGTGTGGAAACGGATGGAGGCCTCGCAATCGGGGGAAGGCCCTTGCAGTCCAGAAGGGCCCAGTAGTCCGGGGGCCCAAAACTATACGGGTACCCGGAGTATATAGCCGGCTCGGCGAACCCTCAGGCAGCCCGGGGCCGCGCCATCGCTGCCAGGAGTTGTCCGGCCTACGCTATCACACATTTGAGATGAGGAATATTCATAATCATAATAACAAATGCTTAATGACATTATCACTGATGAGTAACATTGACTCATGCTCATAATACATTTGATCAGTAACATTATTAAAATTAGTTTTGGTATAATGAATACTCAGAATCGTAATAACAATTCGTATGCACGCGAATTAGCATAATACGAATGATGGTACGAATCGTACGGTTAACATTAGTATTGATTAGAATATTCATACGAAAAAAAAAGAGAAAAATGTCAACTCAATGCCAATCATACGATGAGGAAGAGGTGGAGGAGGAGGAGGAGGAGGAGGAGGAGGAGGAGGAGGAGGAGGAGGAGGAGGAGGAGAGGGAGGACCAGAATGGGCCCAAGTTGCATCAGGGATGCTGCAATACTCCCTTCCGTCCCGTGCCCCCTCCTCACAAGTCACTGCGCGCCCGCCCCTACGAGGCGCCGTCGGCGCCGGCCCCGTTCCCGTGCCCGTGCGAGCGGCCCGCGCCCGCGTGCGGTGGCTCACCGGGCGGCGCGCCGCCCGTCGGCCAGGCCGGCGAGGCAGAGGCCGGGGGCCACGTTAGGGGGGCATGGTCTCACCACCGACATGGGGGCAGCGTCGGCGGCAGCGTCAGGGGCAGTGCCAGGGGCGCAAGGCTCGGCCAGGGGCAACGTCAGGGGCAGCGCTCGGGGGGAGGGCCAGGGGCAACGAGGGGGGGGGGCAGCGTTAAGGGGGGGGGGGCAGCGGCAGAACGTATCGGGCCCCAATCGCCCACTCATCGCCGATGGTGGCCCGACGGCCCACCCCGCCCACCGCCGTGCGGTGCGCCACCGGGGGCCCCCGCGCCTCTCCCGCGGCGGTGCGTCGCCGCCTCCAGGCCCGTGCTTTCCCCCGCCCCCCTGGGCGGGCGCTGCCCCGATCGATCCCCCTCGAGGCGGCGGCCGCGCCGCGGTTGCCGTGCGCGAGCAGCGCTGCGGAGGCGGAGGCCGCGGCCGGCGCGGGCGGGCCGGGAGCGGGCGCCGAGGCGCAGGGGAGACCTGGCCGGGTCGATGCAGCCGATCGCCGACGCCGAGAGGGGCCATCGCCTTCCAGCCGATCCATTTCCATCTTGAGTTCGGCGGGCCCGCTCCGACGCGCGTTCCGATCGGAGCCGCCTTCCCTCTGCACGAGCGAAATGGGTACGGAAAGAAAAGGTACGATGGTCAACCGCAGTTCCTGTTCATTGTGAACACGACTCGCTGTCCGCGTCGCCGCGGCCTGTGTCCATTTGAGACAGAAGGCCGCTTGCCCAACAGCGGCCGCTGTTGGTTTGGGGCAACAGCTGTTGTTGGGCATTGTACCCATTCTTTCCGTGCGCATTTCGGGCGTCCAAATTCGCGGCTCGATGCTGAATGATCCTGCGCCGGTGCCCTTTTCCTCGTTCTCGTTTCTCTGGGCCTCCTTTGTGGGGGGCCGTTTGGCCGCCATGGCCTGGTTCGCCTCGGAGTCCCTGGTTGGGGTGCGCCACCGGACGATGCACCAGGGAGCGGCGGGGTTCGCATGCCTGGGGGTCGGGGCCGAGGACCGGTGTGCATGCCATCCTTGCCTTGCCTGGTTTGGGGGACGCGTGCGCCAAGCGTGGGCGCATGATGGGACCGGCCATGATCGTGGTCGGTTGACTCAGCGGCACCGTAATGGGTATTCACTAACGGGTACTTCGGGAATCTGCCGAAAGTTGCCACTTTAGGGCGTCTTTCTGGCATTGCAGCGTTGCCCACATCGGGGAGGGTTGGGTTTGCCGGGTCACTGGCCAGAGTACCCGTCAGTGGAGTCCCCGTCAGAGGGGCGCTGATTGACGTCGCCCAACCTGCCTGCGGGAGCGGCAGTGCGGTGGCTTCTGTTTGCCCCCCCCAGCGAGGCGGCACCGCGAGGGCGGCCGCTTGGAGGGCGGCCCTCCTGGGGCATGCAGGACGGAAGGTGCCGTCGAAGAAGACCAAGATTAAGTCGGGCCTATCCCTCTGCAGCAGGAATATGCAAGAATGTGTGGGATGATGTTTAGAGAATTTCTGACTATCCTTCTCCCTCGCGAGCGCGGGGCGCACCAGTGGGGCGGGCGGCGTCCCGGAGGGGCAGCGACGAGACATCGGGGGGGGGGGTCCAGCGCCGATCCAAGAAGTCAGCCAGGCGACTCTGCATAGTGAAAGCTGGTTGAGATCGGCAGTCTTACTTTCGACGAAAAACCAAGCGACACCACCCCGCCTACGGCCCTCAATGTTGCGCTACGGCCCATCGGGGGCCGAAGCGTCTAGCACGCAACAGAACCCGCCAGATCTCCTGGTAGACGCTAAGCCCCGTGTTCGAGGCAATCCGTTGCCGATTCCTTTCCAAGAGAGCGCAGGCAGGTCCGCGCTGACTTCTTAGAAGTCAACGCGGACCTCTGGCGGGTGATGTTTCGGCCGCTCACCTCGTCTTTGCCCCTCGCCACAGTGGCCTTTTTTGGTGCGGGGCCAGTGGGGGTTCCTGGCCGCCGCTCGCGACGCGATCGGGGTGGCTTGCGCGCCTGGGCTTGTGGCCTCCCTGGCCGCTTTGAGGCCGCGCTCTAAGGGCCACTTTTTTAAAGATGCTCGATCATGGAGCTCTTGTTAACCAGAAGCATCTGGCTTTTATGCCGAAGGCCACGGGAGACCGAAGAAGACCGCGGGCTGCGGGAAAGGCCGCCGAAGACCGCCTGAAGACCGCTGGAAGACCGCCGAAGACCGCCCAAGGCAGACGTGTAGCATCGGGTCTATGGTCGAGCGCGTGGACTCTTGCCTGGGGGCTCTCCTCAGGGGAACGAACAATGACATAAACATACAAACTCGGAGGTCCGCGCGGATTTCTTCGATCGGCGCTGGAACCCCCTCCCTGGCGCGCGGAGTGCGCCAGGGGCGGCACCGGAGGCGCCGCCAGGGGGCCCCAGCGCCGATCCGAGAGAAATCCGCACGGACCTCCGAGTTTTCATGTTTATGTCATTGTTCGTCCCCCTAACTCCTGCGTGCAGCCGGAGGTGGCGCCAGCTCGGCCTGCGGCGCGGCGTGCCCGCAGCCACTGTCGAGCAGGCCGTGAGGGCGTACTGCCTGTCCGTCTGCGCCTCGGCGGCGGCCCGGGCGGGCCGCGCGGGCCCGGGCGAGGAGGCGCGCCCCAAGCTCCGATGTCGCGAGACGATTGCAGAATGACGCCCTGGATCGAGGAAGAAGCAGGCGGAGGCGGAGGCGGAGGCGGAGGCGGAGGCGGAGGCGGAGGCGGAGGCGGAGGAGAAGGAGGAGGAGGAGGAGGAGGAGGAGGAGGAGGAGGAGGAGGAGGGAGGAAGAGGAGGAGGAGGAGGAGGAGGGAGGAGGAGGAGGAGGGAGGAGGAGGAGGAGGAGGAGGAGGAGGAGGAGGAGGAGGAGGAGGAGGAGGAGGGAGGAGTAGGATGGATGATGATGATGATGATGATGATGATGTTGATTGATGATGATGATGATGATGATGATGATGATGATGATGATGATGATGATGATGATGATGATGATGATGATGATGATGATGATGATGATGATGATGATGATGATGATGATGACGATGACGATGATGATGATGATGATGATGATGATGATGATGATGATGATGATGATGATGATGCTGATGATGATGATGAGGATGACGATGCTGATGCTGATGCTGATGCTGATGCTGCTGCTGCTGATGATGATGATGATGAGGAGGAGGAGGAGGAGGAAGAGGAAGATGAATACGAGTAATAACACTAATAATACTATTAAGAAACATAGTAATAAGACTAATGCGAAGACGACGAATACTACTAATGCGACGAACGAGAAACATAATAAGACAACTAATACGAATACTAATACAAATACTAAGAATCATACTAGTAATAAGAAGACTACTGCTAGTACTAATAGAATAATAATACTAAAACGACGGACCATAATACTACTAATAAGAAGACTAATACTAATGACACTACTATTAATAATACTTACAATGCTAATACTAGTAACGACACGACTAAGCATAATACTCAGACGACTATTTGTACTAACAAGAAGAAGACGACACCTAAGAAGAACACGAGGATGAGGAGGAGAAGGAGGCGGATGAGGCGGAGGCGGATGCGGAGGCGGAGGAAGAGGAGGCGGAGGCGGAGGCGGAGGCGGAGGCGGAGGCGGAGGCGGAGGAGGAGGAGGAGGAGGAGGAGGGGGAGGAGAAGGAGACTAATGATAATAGTAATAATAAGAATAACAATAATCATGATACTACTAATCATGATACTAATATTAAGAATGATGATAATAATACTAATAATAATAGTATTGATACCGATACTAATAATACTGAGACTAAGAATGATAATACTAATCATACGAACAATAATACGAATACCAACACGAAGACTAATAACACTAATACGACTAATATTACGAAATATAATAATACTGCTAGTAATATTATTAATAATAAGAAGCAGAAGTTCACAGTAAGACGATTAATAACAATAATCATAATCAGAAGAGGAATCACAATAATACGAATAATAAGAGGAAGAGGAGGAACGTGAGGAGGAGTGTAATTTGTTCCCCAATCATCCTCTGGTGTTGGGCCCTCGTTTTGAAGAGAGACGGCGCCCCGCGCTCCTCCGCCGCGCCCCTCCCCCTCTATCCTCCCATCCCTGCCTCTGCCCCCCGCACTCAGTGCAGCGCTTTCTGGCCCCGTAGGCAGTTCCACCGACGGCCCCCGTTGCTGTGACCACCTGCGTCCGCGCTACCCAGTACAGCGTTTTGTGGCCCCATGGGGAGCTCCACGAAGACCTCACTGGGTGTGACCACACGCGTCGGCGCCACCCAGTACAGCGCTTTGTGGCCCCATAGGGAGCCCAACCGAAAGCCCAGGCCCCAGTGGCTGTGACCACATGCGCACTCGCCACCCAGTACAGCGTTTCATGGCCCCATACGGAGCCCCACGGAAGGCTCGCGTGGCTGTGACCACAGGCGTTTGCGCTACCCAGTACAGAGTTCCGTGGCCCCACAGGGAGCTCCACCGAAGGCCCCAGAGGCTGTGATCGCATGCGTCTTCCCCGGCACATTTCCACACGCCCCTCGTGCGTTTCGTGGCCTGCCCCTGGGGAGCTCCACCGAAGGCCTCGCGGCGATGCCCACATGCTCCCCCTCACGCGTTGCGTGGCCCCATAAGCAGCTCCTTCTCCTTCGTCCGACCTGCCTTGCGGTACTGAGAACTGCAGCTGCGCTGGACCCCCCCGGCGGCGCAGACGCAGAAGGCCCCACACAGCGTTCCGCAGTCACACGATGTGGGGCCACGAGGGAGGCCACGACTGGAGGACACGATGGGGGGCCACGGTGGTGGGGGGCCGTGATGGGGGCCATGATGGGCCTTAAAAAAAAAATCCCAAGCATTTTTTTCACGGTCCTGGGGCCTGGCGAGGGCCCCCTGGAGGCTGAAAATGACCAAATGCCTCCCGTTGTTTTATTGGGTCGACCCCAACTTTCTGCGGCATATCTCTGCCCTGGGGTCTGGCATCCTGGCGGCAAAGCACCCTTGTGTGAATCAGGGGAGAAACATAGTGATAGACTCAAGTTAACGTATTGCTCTGGCGTGCCTGGTGTTCTTTGCGATAGGTCGGGTGGAAGGGCGCCGACGCAGCACGTCCGTCTGCTGCCACATGTGCTCAAGCTTGAAGGGCGTCCGAAATGCCAGGGCTTCGCAGGCTTCTCGCCCGAGTTGCTCTGCTCTTCAGCACCGCCTCTCAGATCCTCGTGGCATATTGGTATCGATCCCACCCGTGCCCCGCGGTGCCGGCTTGTCCCAGCTGCCCTGGTTTGAGCTGCCCAGCGTGTCCGACAGGCCTCGCCTGCCCGCAGTGCCCGACTCTGCACTGCCCGACGCCGACGTGCCCCTTGCAGGCCGGCGCGAGCGCCGGCGGAGGCGAGCCGCCGCTCCCGGTCGGAGCACCAGCGGGGCCGCCTCCACCGCCGCCTCTGGTGGCGGGCCCACCTCCTGCGGCCGGCGGGGCGCCCACGCCGGAGCCGGCGCAGGGCGAGCCAGCGGCCGACGCGGCGGCGGCGCACACGGGCTGGGGCGAGGGGCTCTTTGACCTGGTCACGCTCGGGATCCATTTCCTTTTCGTCGTGGTGCAGGTGCTGTGGTCCATCGTCAGCCGTGGTGCTCGCCGTGTCGTGGGGAGGCTGGCCAAGCCGAAGTTTCCTGCTGCTCTCGAGAATGGTCGCGCCGCCATCGCACCTCAAGGAGTGGGCGTGGGTGTTATACGCCGGCGGGCCGCGCTGGCACCAACGGAGGATTCGGGGACAGCTAGCGCCTCCACTGGCGGGTCAGAGTGGCACTGACTTTACTTGATCAGTACACCTGATCATGACGTGTACGAGGAGGACTACAGCCGCGGCAGCCAGGACGTGCTGGCCGTACGCTTCACCGACGGACGGCGCGAGCTGGCGGGGCTGGAGCCGAACCAGGTGTACAGGTTCGGTCGGGCGCTCACGCCCGCCCAGACCGCCGCCATCCGCGCAGCCCTGGACCAGGTCGGGGATGAGACCTACCTGGCCCGGGAGAGGGCTGCGGGTCGGGCTGGGGTGCTGCCTGCCTCAGGGTCGTGGGAGGCCTTCGACTTCACGTTGGCCGCAGCGCCTGGGGGTGGGGCAGCGGCCGCCGCCGGCGGCCACGGCGCGGGGGACGGCGCCCCCGCGGCGGCTGGCCTTGCCGGTGTTGCGCCGGCCCGGGGCCCGGGCCTTGGCGGGGCTCTCGGCGCGAGGCCGATGGCTGCAGCCGCGGCGGCGCCGCCGGCTGGAGCAGCCCCCGCGGCAGGCCTGCCGGGAGCTGACGGCGTGGCCGCCCTGTTCGCGCCGCCGGTGACGCCCGAGTGGGTCATGGTGGAGACCACCTCGGCGGGCAAGCGGGGCACGGTCGTGTGGTTGAACGGTTCGGAGAAGCTCGGCGGCGACGTTGGCATCATGAGGGTGACCGAGGGCTGGGTCTGCATCCGTCAGGTGTCGATCAGCTTGTCAATGTACGCGAGTGCAGAGTCTGGCCACGACTGTCGTCTCCTCGGGCTCCCTCTTCAGGTCGACGGGTACCGCGAGCGCTTGCAGTTTCGAGATGCAGTCGCTCACTTCACCGAGTCGGGGCTGGTTGGGTGGCCGCTTGAGGGCCCTCGGACCGTTGGTTGGTGCTGCGTGTTCATCGACCGCCGTCGCGGAGGGCCGCTAGAGCACTTTAACCAGTTCAAGAGCTACTACCACCTGACGAACGACGACTACGGGGTCACCCACTACGAGAGCATCATGCGGATGATCGAGTTCTTGGCGTGCTGGGATCATGTGAACCTCCCCGACCTAGTCGGGGTGGAAGTGGCGATGAGGCAGGCGCAGTTGTACGAGTACATATACGCGATGGAGTCCGAGGGCACGGTGGCCGGTACATCGGGCTCCAGGGAAGGCGACAAGAACAAGGGCAGGGGAGGTGGCCGCGGCCGCGCCCCGTCGCGATTCGCCTTCCTCGACGAGGCCTCGGTTTTCACGGGCGCGGCGAAGGAGGACGGGCGGATGATGGTCTGCCCGTCCTTGCTACATCATGTGGCAGCTATGGTGGAGAGGGGCGCGGGCATCCTCAAGGCCTTGCGGAAGGCGAAGGAGGAGCGCCGTGCCCTCTCCGGGCCACGAGTGCGCCGCCCGGCAGGGATTCCCCCGACCTGCCCGGGATCCAACAGGGGGCGGTGCCTTGCTTCCTCGGCGGCGCTGATACTGTGCATGGGGATCCCCGTCCTGCTCCCCGAGATGGTCGCCAGCGCGACATATTCCCGATTCCTCCTCGTCCTTCTTCACGCCTTTCTCCGACCACTAGCCAGAGCCTTGCGACCCATACTCGGACTGCTGAGCGACGGCTTCATCGTCGCCGACACAGGGACAGCACTGTGGACGAGCTTATCGGCGTCCTCAATGAGATGTACCTCGGATCGGAGAGCTCAGCTGACCTACCGCGGCGGAGTTCTGACCGGCCGCCGCTCGCAGTCCACGCCGAGGTCTGCCGGGAGGTCGAGGCCGCCGCGAAGCGGTTCGGTGCCTCCCGAGGACCTCGACGGCCCGGGGGCCCGTGCGGAGCTCGG